ACATCAATAGGATTGGATACATCAATAGGAACAAGGATACCTTGTTAGGTATGGTCCACCCATGACAAATCTAATAGCATTGGTTGTATAGCATCCAGATGCTCAACGGCTCTGAAACTTGGCTAAACCTATTCATGGCAACGAAAGAAAACATAGAAGGAGGATCAAGAAGAGGAGGGAGCTGAACCTGTTTCTCCTCACTCCTACACTCCCCCTGAGGAGAAACAGGAAAGATAGGCTCACCTTCAAGGAAAGATATGTTAGATAGTGTATGCCCTTAGCTCCAATCAGCTTGATGTACATTATGACATTTATTGTAAATGAATAAAGTACATATTTGATTCATGTTATATTGGTGGGTTTCTGTGTAATACCCTTAAACTGGACACTTATGAGACTTGTGTTAGTTTAGAATCTTCACAGCCATTGGGTAGATCCGAGGAGATTTATCCTACCAAGGCTGACACAAATGTACCGCCAAGTGGGTTGGGGTGGCTACTCTCAGCTGCTAGGGTGAGACCTGAGGTACATGTAGTGTGGGTTTTCTTAAAACCCTGAACCGGACCAAATTCCAATATTGGCTTGGACCTTGGAGACAGATGGGCAGAACTGGAATGTTACACCTAACCCCTAGACTCGATTAAGGTACTGCACTAGGTGTCGGATTGGGTTATCTTTGATATGCCAATCAGTGAGATCCTTAGAGGGGGTCAAAACCTAGGTATGTTGGGACAGTCTGAGAATTCACCTGAGTGGGAGATCATAGTGACAGGATCAACCCCTTTGTCGGACAAAGTGAATGATCGGGGAATGCACTCTCTCTGATGGAAACCTAAACTGCCAGCAATTGATTTCAAACTTGTTGAAATTTGTTTTGCACAATATATTTATATAGAGATATACATATATATTACGGTTTCACAAAATGTTTGCAAAAGGTTTTAATTCTCGGGATCCATGTGAGTAGAGAGTGCAACACTGTACCTTGCAACCGAGGGAGAGGTCCTCTCTTGTCAGGCAGTGTTTGATCATTATGGCTGAGAGGTTAAGTGTAAGACCATTTAGGGATAATAAACCTGATGGTCTAAACTCACATCTGCCCATAGTCCTTGGGCCTTCATAAGATGGTTGGACCCAAGGACCATTTAATGTAAATGTTGGGCCCATTAGGAGAAGTTGATCCTGATCTATAGATAAGATAAAGGATTATCCTTATCACTTATAGAGTTCAGATCCAAATAAAGATTTGGATCAAGAAACTCCTAATCAGATTGAGAGATGGACTCTTTAAGGGTTATATATAAAGAGGTGGGCGAACTGAAAAAGATATACACTGCTTGACTGCTTTCTGCTTCCAGTTCTCTCTCTCTGCTCTTGCCGCCCTACCCTGTTCGACCTCCACCTCTTGGACTGATCAAAATTCGATCTTGATGTTGTTTCTTGGTGAAAGAAACAATTTTGAAGTTGTGCTCACTACCCTGTTCGATTCTTGCTAAAGAATCTAAGGTTCTTGCTGAAGAACCACTTGTTGATTCTGCCTCAGCCTAAGTTGTGTTATCTTCAGTGGAGAAAGGATTTGGTACTCTCTTTGGCCGTAAACACCTACGTTGGGAGGAGCTTTTTGCATGGATTCCGTATCAGGTATTCCTCTCCCTAATCTTGGGAGAAAGAAATTTTTGAAATTTCGCCCAACCACCCTGCATGGTTCGGCCATCCATATGATGAATCTTCCATCCCTTCAAGATACATCCATAGAAACATAGTATTTCCGAGAGAGAGGATCAAAGCACTGGTACCCCTTTTGAGACGTGGGATACCCCAGGAAAATGCAAGGAATAGCATGAGGATCCAATTTACCGCAAGTTGGAGATAGGTTTTGAACAAAACAACAGCAACCAAACACACAGATAGGAATAGGAAACAAGAGAGCCTTGGGAAACAAGAGCTGATGTGGGGCCTTGCACTTTAACCATCAAGATGGCATGCGGTTCATGAGATATGCAGCACATAAGACAACCTCTAGCCAGAAATGTTTTGGGACACTCATATGAATCAATAATCCTCGGGCCACTTCAAGAAGGTGGTGGTTCTTCCTTTCCACAACGCCATTTAGTTGGGGTTTTAAGCATATGAGCTATGATAAAGTGATCCACACAAAGCAAAGAACTCCATGAGGTCATGATAAAAATATTTTTTGGCATTATCAGATTGGAAGATTTGGATTTCGATTTGAAATTAGGGGAACACATTCGTTGGAAATCTTTTCTAATTTTTGGCACTTCATCTCTAGTTTGCATGGGATACACCCATGTGTATCGCGAGTAGTCGTCAATAAGTGTAACAAATTACTTGTAGCCAATCTCAGAGGGTAAAGTATASGGGCCCCAAACAATAGAATGAACAAAATGGAAAGGAAATTCAAATTTATTATTTCTTGAAGAAACGTGACTTCTACAAAATTTACTTAATTGGCAAGTTTGACATATAAACTCTGACACTAACATTGACTTAAACAACTTTGGAAACAAAATTTCTAATGACTCAAGAAATAAATGACCAAAACGACTGTGCCATAAATAGGCACGACTCTTACTAGATTAACTCTTGGACTCTATGACTGAAAGACCGGACTTATTCTCCAGCATGTATAGCCCGTCCACCATACTTTACCAATCAACTTCTTCCCTGAGGCCAAATCCTGAATTACACAAGAAAAAAGGGTTATTGAACAGTTTAATGAGTTGGTGACACTACTAATAGAAAACATTTTTTATATCTTTTGAAGGGTTACACAACGAGGGATGGCCCATCCCCCAACCTAGGTGCAAGTGGGATTTGATCCCAAGACTCCGCTACAACCAGTAGGAGACCTTACCAACCAACCGGCTAGCACCTTTTTTTTTTTTTTTGATCAATAACAGCACTTTTATTAAAAGAGATAAGTAAGATACAACCAGAAAGGAGGGGTAAAATGTCTTAACCCTCCCTTTCAAACCCAAGAAAACATATTACAGAATAGCCCAAAACAAATTAGATCTTCTCACCCCCTGTTTAGCCAAGGAGTCAGCCATGGAGTTGGTACTCCTCTTAGCCCATTGAAACCTTATGGTCATGTTCTGAGTTAGTTGCTTGATTTTCTTTCTTTCTTTTGAGAACTTCCACATGTTGGACTCTTCCATCTGCAACCATCTAACAGTCAGTTGGGTGTCACCTTCCACCAGCAACTTGCTAATATTCAACTGCTTAGCCCTTTTGACTCCTTCTACAACTGCTAGGATTTCAGCTCTCAGAGAATCCCCCCAGCCTATAGGTCCTGAGAACATAGCAATAATTTTCCCTTCTTCGTTCCTGAAAATACCACCTATGCTTGAAGGGTTCCTTCACTACTACCATCAAAGTTCAATTTGATGAAACCCAAGTCTGGTGGAGTCCAAACAAGTCTGATATCGATAGACATAGGAGCTGACCGAGCCACTTCTTACCAGTTTCTAATGATGTCTCCTACTGAATAGGCTTCAAAAAGCTTCAAAGACTTGACCCAATGAGCCACCCTGACATATACAAGTTCTATGAGGGCTTCCCTGCTTTTCTCTTTTTCTTGAAATAATCTTTGATTTCTTTCTTCCCAGACCGTCCAGCAAACAACAGCTCTAGCGCATCTCCACAAAATTTTACCTCTCTTCTTTAGACCCCTCACTGGAGTGGAGCTAAACAAACTTTGCACACTTGAAGGGGAGGGTCACCTGTAACCAAATAAAGAAAAGAACCAACACCAAATATCTGAAACAAAAGGTCAAGAGACAAGCAAGTGATAGCAGCTTTCACCATTCTACTTACATAAGATGCACCAATGTGGGGATAAACACCAATTAGGCCTTTTCTTTTGAAGTAGGTCACAAGTGTTACACTTTTCCAGGATTGCTTCCCAGCAAAAAGCACCTACCCTAGGAAGGATGGGGCTACCCCAAACTTCCCAAACTGGAAAAGGAGGCCCAGGTACCGGACTAGACTGTGTCAATGCTTTGAAGGAGGAGCAAGAGAAGATACCCGAGGGAACAAGAGACCACACCCTGGAGTCCACAATGGAAGGTTCAAGGAGTACTGCATCCAAGATTTTAAGCAGATTCGAAATGGGTTCCAACTCAAAATCTCTAAGAGCCCTTCTAGTTCCAACCAGTAGCGGAATTAGACAAGCTAGCAAATGTTGCTACTGGTTCATTTTTAAACCTAGACAGAGCAAACAAAGAGGGAAACTGCTCTTTCAAGGGGAAAAAACAGGTGCTGATCACCTCACATCAGTCAGCCGAACCTGTTACAGGTTCTGTCTTGGTACACGACCAAGAAAAAAGGTAAAAAAACTTCTCAGATCAGCGCAATGCTGTTCTCAGGCTTCTCCAAACAAAAAACAGCAACCGGTGAAGAAAAAACACTTGATCGATCTCCCTCTCAGATCTAATAAACCTGCTCGGATACCATATTAAACAGAAAAGAGAAGGTTGAAGGGAGAAGAGAGAAGAGAGAAGAGAAGAAGAAAGACGTTTGAGAGCCAAAAGATTGAGCTTATATTAGGGTGACCATAATGTAATGAGAAATTACAACTGTACCCCTGTGTTACTAATACTGACATAAACAGACATAAAACAGCCTTTTAACAGATTCCAGTCATGAAATTCGTGTTTGTACACATCACAATCAAAAACAATACAAAACTGAACCAAGTCTGCATTCTCACTTGTTGAACAAATTGCATTTACATTGATGCATATGCTTTTTGCATTGTAGCTGGCACCATATAGTTGGGACAAGGCTCAGATGATAATGGCATATGCTTTTTGCACTCTTACCAAACACAGCCTAAGGAGCAAACTAAAGCAAAACAACAAGAAAACAATTGCAGCCAATAGACGTAGTATCAAATGTTAAATCAGTACAACTACTATTATACTCCAAATAAATCATTAACATTGCTAAACTCCAAACAAAATAATTTGTTTGCATACCTTAAATCTCAGTGCACGATTTCCCGTTTCACCAGGATCGCCATAGCAAATATCGACCAACTTCAAAACTTCATATTCACCAGGTTGAATGTCAGATTCACACTGAGAACCAACTTTTGTCTTAGATGCCCTCGAACAAGACCTCCGTGTTCTTTCCGTATCTCTAACCACATACCTTTTGCAAAGTTTTTCCCATTCCTTCAATAGGTCAAGAAAATCCTCTGCAGTTTCATTCCTAATCTGTTAAAAAAGCATAGAAAGATAAGTAATACCGTCAACAGTTTATGCATATTATTTTTTTTAGATACGTAACAATCACATTTAATTCATTTGTATAAAAGAATATGCATATTGTTAGTTTGGAACCAGTGAAGAGACAAAGGGTATACTTGTGTTTCTGGATGATTTAGCCTCAAGCTTTCACATGCATGTACATTAAAATCAACAGCCCATCTCTGCGAAGAATGTACAAATATTAGAATAAATAATGATGCCACAAGAATGAAACCTCATCCCTTTGCTTGGTAAAATTGTAAAACCACAGGCTGACAGCTGCAATAATGCAGGTTTAAGTCTGTACACGCACACGCACACACACACTAAAGATTGTATCTGAAAGATTACCGTCACGAGATTTACACCAGAAAGTTTAGCACCAAGGCATAGTCCAGTTGACATTCCACCACAACCAGAATACAGATCCAGAAGTGCCAGCTCTGATGTTTCTGGTCCATAGTCCAGTCTTTTGTCCAAATAAGGCATAGTGTCATTCTTCTTAAATATCTTAGGGAAACCAGAGGAAGATAGACCACTGCTTTCAGCAGAAACATCTGAAGCAAAGAGGAGAATTACATAGGTCCAGAAATGAGCAACCAATAAAAATAATTACTAAACACAAAACATGGATTTCGGCAACCTAAAAGCATTACCTAAACCATCTTATTTGGACACCACATAAAATGGAATAATTTTATTATTTTTATCCCATTTTAATACACACTAGCAGGACCTCGAATGGATCCGTTTCAGATTGTTAAGAAAAAAATTTGTAAATGAATTCATTTTAGATAAAACATGATTGAACCTCATTGCAATATTTTATTACTACCCTGAAATGGACCCACTTGAGATTGTTTGAGTACTCTAATGTAAGGGAAACCCAAAATGAAAAATGTCTTTTTCTTCATACCATCTATTGTAAATAAACACATAAAAAGGAAAAAAGAAAAGGGATAGGAAAGGCCCCATCATCATCATCTAAGCCTTATCCAAATTATATGGGGCTGGCTGCATGAATTCTGTCTTGCAAAACTAGCGTGAGCACAAAAAGACAACTCAGACTCCATGACCATAAAGAATTTGGCAAAGGTTTTAATGCCAGCTGCCAACCTGATGCAATCCTCCTTTATCCAGGCTTAGAACTAGTGGTTTAAGACAAACTCACACTGATGGAATTAAAGCTAGACTTTTTTGGCAGAAAAGCTAGATATATTCAACATCTTTAAAAAAAAGATTGTGCAAATCAGACATAACATTCAGCAAGTTCTGGTAGACTTAAGAACACCTAGACTCTCTACAATGGAGCTTTCTAATTTAGTTGATTGAATGTTTAAATTAGTCTTATTATAATAGGATTTGCTTCTGGCAGTTATTGGTTTTAGCAATGATCTAAGGACTTACATAGTGTAAGTACATATAAGTAACCATCAAAGAACCTGCAATGAAAACCACACTAACATACATATAACCACCGCAAAACCCACAATGAAAGTTATGTCCATCGCTAGAGCAAGTGAGATTGCACAACCAGAAACCGAAATYGCAGACTCACTCGTCCCCTAAAACTCAGAAAACCTGCAATGACACTTGCAACATCACACTTATCCTCCCATCAGCAGCGATGCCACTTAGAGCATATGACTGCAAATGGAGACACTGTGATAACAGCAACAAGTTCAGAACACTACAATGTGAGTAATGAATCATGTGATACCACCACAAAAGATATCAAATACCGCACTTACGATAGAGTCCATGCACTATCACATCTGCTTTGTTGTCTAACCAGACATCGCAAAAGGTCACTAAAACGACACCTGGTGCAGCAGCGATATTGGGTCATTTGCAATGCCATTCATAGATACTTAGACACCTCCTTTAGAGACATCATTCCACATGACCACAAGTGAGCTTCTAGAAAGGGCTGTAGCTACATGCGGACTCTAAACTCTAAAGACAGGGATTCCAGATCCTAAGAGATTCTCATGGACACGTGGCAAAACCCTAAGCTGATTACCTGTTTTATACCTAATGAATTTTAACCACATTTCCAAAGCAGGAAAGTTCCCCCCTATCATCTTCCCTATTCCCTCTTATAGCTACACCCCCCTCTCTCTATAAATAAGGGAGACTCGAAGCTCTCCACACGAGATCACCCCATGAGAGTGCTACAAGAACCCTAGCAAGCCAGCCTCCTACCTCTTTCAGTGTTCCTCTCTACTCTAGCCCTTCCCCTTACACCCTCGCTTGATCTTCCAATCATCCACCGTCCTTCAAGTAGACATCCACCGTAGCCTTACCCTTTAGCCAACACATAGCAACCAGTTGGGGCTTTTGGCACCGAACGAGACAAGACATGCTAAATTTTCCAAAGAACAGGCCTTGGTATAAATGCTCGCCAGTTGTAGTAGCTGACAGACAAAAAATATTGTATTGAAAGTTTAAGTTTGTTTAATTATGCGTGTAATTGGTGCTTGATGCTCTTAAAGTGATGGGAGAGAAAGGATCCACTACGTGTACACCAGTGACAAGGTGGAAGGAGTTCAACAATGAGGCGCAAAAAAATACTCATAGTTGAGGAGAGAATGGTAAAACAAGAGGTTGTATGTGAAAATTCAAGTGGCATCTTGGGGTGATCACGGACTAGAATGGACAGGACCAAGCCAGGCATTGGGCCTATACCTTTAAATTAATATGTATAATGTTTTATATTATAATGCATATAATACATGTAATAGAGTATATGTTATATTGTATATGAATATAAATATTATATATAATAAACTTATGTCATTTTATAATATTTATGCATATAAAATATCACAAAAATAAAATAAAACATACTATATATGTATATAAAATATATACAATATATAAATATTGTGGGTAGGGCCTAAAGTGTTGGGCCCAATAATTATTTCAAATGACAATAATAATTTCAGTATCCTTATCAAAACACAACACATTAACAAAGATAAGTAATCAAAACATGGTGTACCAATGGATTTAAATTTTGTACTTCATTTCCATTGTTAATTAAAATACTTCTTATTTATCATATTTATTTTTGTTTAATAATATAATTATATTATGTTAGAAATATGTACAAAATTTTCAACAAATTTTTATGTTTTCTATAATTTTTCGTTTCTAACTATTTTTTAAATTTTTATTGTATAATCATGACATCGTTGATTGACCCATTTAACCCAAACAGTTGAGCCATTAACCACAACTTATATGGAAAAATCATTTTGTTTTCGAGTTGGTTTAATTTTTTTATTTCATTTCCATCATTAATAAAAATAATTCTTATTTATCATAGTTATTTTTGTTTAATATGATGAATACATAATATTAGAAATGTACCCCAAATATTTTCTAAAAATTTTCTATGTTTTTTAACAATTTTTGTCTCTACCATTTTTTTAAATTTTATTATTTAATTATGGCATGATAGATTGACCTATTTGACATAAAAGGTTGAAGTATCGATCCACCACTTGAATAGGAATATAGTTTTGTTTCTAGGTTGGTTTTAAATTTTGTATTTCATTTCCATCATCAATAAATAGTTTCTTATTTGTCATATTTTTTTTTAATATGATAAATATATAATATTCGAGCTATGCCCAATTTTTTTACAAAAAACATATATTTTTTTTGTAATTTAATTGTATTTAAATTTTTATTATTTAACTATGACACAATAGGTTGACTGATTTCACACAGTTAGTTGAACTAATTACCCACCACCCAAACAGAAGAGTGGTTTTGTTTTCATGTTGGTTTTAGACGCATAGGTTTTGTATTGTTAAAAATTATTGGATATAGATTTAATTAGTAGAATTTATTTGTAAGAAACAAAATGCTTCAAATAATTAGAGAGAATGGGAATTAACACCTTAAATATAGGACTTAGTGCGAGGGAATTGAATAAAGTGAGAAGTAGTAGGGACCAAATTCAAAAGTATGGGATGTTTTAGTCAAGAAAATGTCCACAAAGCTCATTTATTTAATATGCTTCCAAGTATACGATTTAATGAGAGGGAAAAATGGGAGTTAATATCTTAATTTATGACTTAATGACAGGGAATAGAATCAACTTATCAGTACTTAAAATTATGTTTTTGCCCTCGTAATAAAGAATAACCAAATTCAAAAGTAAGGGTATTTTAGTTCAAAAAAAATCCAGAATCTAAACCTTATTCCTACTTTTAAAAGGAGTACAGATTTAGGGCCTATTGTCCACTTAAATGGACTTTTTATATCAATAATTATGAAATTTCATTAATAAGAGAGAAACAAGGAGTTAATGGGATGAGAATATGTGACTTCCAATTTCTGAAACTGTCATCAATTGAAAAGTCAGCAAATATATCCAAGGATTTTAACCAATGAGCCACTCTAATGGTGATGGTCTCTACATCTCTCCTTGTCCAAGAAAATTCTGGACTTTCTGTCTTCCCATTTCGTCCAACTTATAGCAGCCCTGGTGCATCTCCACATTATCCTTCCCCGTTTCTTTGGTCAAATGAAAGTTGTTGAAGCAAATAAACTTTGCACATTCAGTGGGGAGTCCACCTACATCCAAACAAAGGAAGACACTATTCCTAAATATATATAAAAAAAGGGCAAGAGACTAATAAGTGATAGCAAGTCTCGCCATTGGCTTTGCACAGGACACACTAGTAGTGAGGGGATAAGCACCACTTAGGTCTCTTTCTTTGGAGCAAGTTACAGGTATTTATTCTTTCAAGGAAAACTTCCCAGCAAAAAGCTCCAACTCAGGAGGGATAGGCTTCCACCTATAGGACTAGGCCTACATACCTAAAAATAAAAAGTTTTATAAGATGTTATTGATCAAAAAAAAAAAAGTTTTATAAGCTATGATTGGGAGTAGTTTAATAACCTACTCCCAACCCAGAAAACTTTAAAGCTTCAATACACCAGTTGCAAAAATAAACACAAATAAGCTTGCTCTATCATTAATACTGAACAAATCATGGCCTCTTCATAAACTAGATATCAAGAAAGCATTCTTACATGGTGAGTTGAAGGAGGCATATGTGGTTACTCTTCTTGGGTTTAGTCTTCCAGGATAGGAAGGAAAACTTGAGAGCTAAATAATGCAATATATGGTCTCAAGCAATCTCCAAAAGCATGATTTAACAAGTTTAGTTTGAAAATTCAGCAATTGTGATTCACCAGAAATCAAACTAACCATACCTTGTTTGTTAGGAGGATGGACACATCTAGTACAATTCTCATTCTTTGCATAGATGACATAACCATTGCAAGGGAAGATCTCAAGGAAATTCAGATCTTGAAGCAATACCTAGTAAAGGACATTGATGACATAAAGGATCTAGGTTAATCAAGGTGCTTTATTGGCATTCTCAAGACCTATGGACATGGTTATTCTACAAAAGAAGAATTAATGGTTGTATTACAAGGTTTAAGACAGGGCAGATCCCTCAACTACAAAAAATATAATAGTGGATGGTGATTTAAAGGTAGCAGTGAGCTAGTTCAAGAATAACACCACAGA